GGAAAGAGGAGAGAGAACATCCCCTGTGTGTGTGTGTGCAGTGTGGGCAATGGTCAGCACCTCTGCTGAGCGCAGCTTCGCTATGTGGGCAGCCTGGGGGACGCTGGCAGGTGCCACCTCCACCTCCCTTCATTTCTCCTGTCCTTCTCCCGGTAGGATCTAGATAAGACCCAAGAAGAAATCAAGAAGCATCACGCCAACATCAGTGAGTTGAAGAAGAACTTCATGGAATCCGTCCCGGAGCCTCGGCCGAGTGAGTGGGACAAACGTTTGTCCACTCACTCCCCGTTCCGAACCCTCAACGTCAACGGGCAGATTCCCACGGGAGCGGATGGAGTGAGTACCCTGGCGGGGTGTGGGGCCCTTCCCAGGGACATCTTGGCCAGCCAGGGTTGAGCCTCAGCTCCCCTGAGCTTTTTGCTTCTCTCCAATGTGAAGAGTCAATACTTTGTCACGTCCGTGCTGGGCTGAGACGATCGTTGCTTTGAGTCGCAGTGACATAAAAATGGGATTATTGGTTGGTTGGGTTTTTTGTTGTTGTTGTTGCTAGAGAAGAACTTGAGGAATTCCTCACCTGGTTTTTATTCTGCCTTTTCCAGCGTTGCTTTCATCCGTGATGCTTGATTATACTTCAGGGGGCTGTTTTGAGATGGGGTTATTCCTGGTCCCGGGGAATAATCTTCCCAAAATATGGGGAAAAAAAAACCAACAACAAAACTCCAAACACCTAAATTAAAGGATTAAAAGATTGAGGTTGGACATGAGGAGGAAATTCTTGGGTGTGAGGGTGGTGAGAGCCTGGCCCAGGGTGCCCAGGGAAGCTGTGGCTGCCCCATCCCTGGCAGTGTTGAAGGGCAGGTTGGATGGGGCTTGGAGCAACCTGGGCTGGTGGGAGGTGTCCCTGCCCATGCAGGGGGTTGGATCTAGATGATCTTTTAAGATCCCTTCCAGCCTTAACCATTCTATGAGTCTGTGATTGTATGATTGTTACCCTTGGAGTTACATTGCTGAGCCCATGGTGAGGTTTCCTCTTTGATTGCTGAGTCTCAGTGTAAATTCTGCAGGAATTTGGGCAGCAGAGTGATGCAGAGCTCTGCCCACTGTGCCTTGGGGGTTATGGACATGGGGATGGGATAGAAGGGCTCTCAAGCTCCACAGCTGCAATTCAGGGATTATATTCTTGGTTATTACAAAGAATCTCTTGCATGGTGACCATGTTGTGAGGTCTGGGGGGGGGCTGTTGTTCACCATAACTGGGTGCTGTGGGCTTTCCCCATCTAAGGTCGTAGTGGCCCACAGCAACATGAGGTTTTGAGTCAGCCCTGGGTTTGCATCTCTGGAAATGCACTCTTAGTCTGATCCTCTCTGAGGTGACAGTGAGAACTTTCAGAAATGTATCTTGGAGAGGCACCTGCCAGGGAGGGTGTTTTCCTTCACCAGCATGAACTTGTGGCTGCCCCATCCCTGGCAGTGTTGAAGGGCAGGTTGGATGGGGCTTGGAGCAACCTGGGCTGGTGGGAGGTGTCCCTGCCCACGCAGGGGGTTGGATCTAGATGATCTTTAAGGTTTTTCCAACCCAAACCATCCCATGATTCTGTGTTTAAGGCTGGTAAATCACAATGCAAAGCAATTGGTTTCTCCTGTTTGTGGTGGTACCTTCACGCTGCTCTGGTGGCCAAAGGGTGTTCTGCCAGGGGCTGCTTTTCTGCTGTTCCTACATGTTTTATTTCAAGACAACTGAACCTTAAAATGCTTTGTGTGTCCAGGTCAAGAAAGTCACTGTCCTATCTTCTGAGAGACAGGTTGGTGGGCTTGAGGTAAAGCTGCTGTTCTGGTATGTGCTGCTGACCCAGACTTGGCTGTTGCAATGGCACCAAGCAAAAACACAACAGCAGCTGCTGGAGAACATGTTTTCTTTTGGCTACACGGAGTAGTCTCACACCAAGAGGACTTGTGCACTTGCTGCAGCTTTTGCAGCTTTCAATTTTGCTTATTTTGGTGCATGGCTGGTTGGAAAAAAAAGAGCTGCATGAAAGATTTAACCGTGTGTTCGGAGAGAAAAGCAATGATGAAAGTTTAACTCTACCCTGTTCTTTTTATGTTGTCTTTCTTCCCGTTGTTTTTTTTTTGTTATTTGTTTGTTTTAATGATCATGTTACTCTTGCATTTTATGTTTTCTTTTGCTGCCCAGACTCCCAGCTACTTTCTCCCCAATACTCATCACTTAGGGGTGTGCAAAGAACCAGTCCCAAAATACCACTCTGACCAAAGGAGGTTGGCTCAGCTGAGGGAGCTCAGAGCCAAGTTTTTCCTCTCCTAGGTGGGACCAGGGCTGGCAAGATAAAAGGATGGAGAGTTTAGAGCACCAACATTTCCCACAGTCTTTTTTCTTTCTTCAGCAGAAGCCCTAAGAACCCTTTGCATGATCCTACCTGGTGGTTTTTTTTTTCCTCATTCTGGTTTGTCACATTCTTGTGACTCCAGAAACAAGAGGGTTGGAACGTGGAGCCACGTGGAAGGAGTTTGGGCTCCTCCTGCCATCCTGCCCCTTCCACGTGCAGGGTTTCTGAGATGTAACAATTTTTCACTTGTTCCAGTAGAACTTTTCAAGTCGGTCGAAATTTTGATACCGTCGTGAGAACTTTGAAAAAGCTTTTTGTATCTGAGTATCTGCAGTCTTGAATGTTCAAAGGATATTTAACAAATGCTATTTTTTAAGAGCACTGTAGAATAGGAAGCTGGCAGAGACCACATTTTGTACTACACCAGTTCTCTTTCTAATGCCTCCCAATGTTTTTCTCAACCATTCCAATTCCAAAACACTTCAGGAGGTTTTTGAGCATAGGCTTTTCTAGGGGAGCAGGTGCCAGACCTCCTTGTTCCCCATCCCAGAGGTTTGTGACCAAACACGTGTGATCCTGATCCAGATGCTCATGAGCTCTGCAGAGGGGACTAGATTCCCCAGCTCTAAGGCTGATGGGACCCAAGCCACCAGCAGCTCTGCTCTCTGGGGCAGTTTTTATGTTGAGAGGAAGGCTGTCCTAACGCTTTGCACACCTCCAAGTGTCATTTTTGGGCACTTTCCATCTGTCATTTTTGTTCATCTCTCTCTGTCTTTCTTGATCTCCTACCACGAAAGCAGACACAGGAACGTCCTCTGTTAGTACAGGATGAAGACAAACTTAAAAAGCAGGAGATACCTACTGAGACAGCCTTTCCCCGGCCAGCAAGTGAAGAAACTCTTCCAAAGGTTTCTATTGCAATTCCTGAAGAGCAGAAATCCCTCAAAAAGTGTCAGCTGTACTCTAGCATTTTTCCTCCTCCACGTATCCCCTTTATGATGTCCTTTCTCCTGGTCATAGCACTGACTGTTTGGTGGCTGCTCTTTCTCTGAGTGGCAACAGGGTCATGTTGAAACCTCAAGACCAAAGCTCCTGAGTTTCTTGGCTGTAGCCTCTGCTGCATCTTCCTTGTCCTGATCTTTGGTCTCCATAGCTCCTTGTCCTCGGGGAGGGACGTCCTGTCACCATCATGTTAACCCCGCTCTGTGCGTCATGTAGCCGGGATCTGGGACCTGGCAGGAGTGGTCATGGATTCCCAGGTCCATTCTGAAGTTCCCTGCAAAAGCCAGTCCTCTGAACCACGTTCCCCATTGCTGCCAGGGGACAGGTGGGGGGTGTAGATCCCTGGGAGGAGACCTTGGCTCCTTCAGCCCCCGCAGCCTCCATGCAGGAATTGCTAAGATGTGCTTTGAAGCTTGCTCTTCTGAATGTTAGATGTTCACAAGCTGAAGAACATTGGAGACTGATCCAAAAGAGGCTTTGCAGCAACCTGCTGAATCTAATCCATAACCACTCCTTTTCTAGGTGGGCATTTACATGCCAAGTGTTGGTGGTCAATGCTGCTGTCAGTGTTAACCCAGGGACAGGCAACTTTTCCTTCTCCCTCTGGAGAGGAACCCTCTCTTTGTGTTGGAGAAAACCCACTGCAAGGAATTATTTATTGTAAACATAGATTAATGATTATTTTTTTTCCCTGAATCTGATGGTCTTGGTGCACTTCAGGTGTGTTTTGTTTAACTAATGTGGAATTAACTGACCGTGTCTGCTTAGGTCTCGGGGATGGAGCAACCTGCTGTTGGGTGGTCTCCTCTGTTAGCATGTTGACTTTACCACACCAAGACACTCTTCTGATGTTAAAGCCATCGATTGTTTTGACTTCTCTTAACAAAACCCTTGCATGCTGCTTGTTGTTTATTGCCTACCAATGTCAATGTCTGGATGATGCTCACCTGTATCAGAGTGACCTTGGTTGAGCCGTGTGGGCTCAGAGTTGCCCAGAACTGATTTGTGAGCTGGAGGAAGGGTGGGATTTTGTGTCTAGGGAGTTTCTTTTCTGTATATAGTAATTATGGAACTGAGCTGAGCCAAATGCTGCTCCTTTCTGCAGTGATCTGCTTTCTGTTGCTTTCTCTGGAGGGCTGGTGTGGGCACAGTTACTTCTGAGAAGAGCCACTAGTGGCATCAGTGTTGGCAGCTGCACCAGCAGCACAGCAGAGAAGGGAGTGAACCTTTTAAGACCTTTATTACAGGGACTAAAACATGTGCATATATATAAATAGATGTATTTATAACCCTTTATAGATCTGTATCTGTGTGAACAGTGTTAATTAGGAAGCTGGCAGATAAGCTTGCAGGAAAAAGGCATAAAGCAAACCTGGCATGTGCTGTCTGATCTGAGGGACTGTGGTGTGTTATGGACCACTTGAGCCACCTCTCTCTTGCTCTCAGTGTATGTGTGGAGCCTCTAAATCCTGTCTCAGAAGCTGAAGTTGCTTGTGAAACCCTTTGTTTTAATCCCACAGGAATCTCTCCCAACTACTCTTGTAACCTGCCCTGATTATTAGTTCACCGGTTTGTGCCTTTAGGACTTGAGGTTTTGTGAGGGTGCTGGTTTGTCACTGGAAAGTCTCTTCCCCTCTGTAATACACTGCCTGTAATGCAGAGTCTTCCTCTTTAAGTCCCTGGAAGGGTAGGAGTCCCTAAGTGGTTGTGCAGGCACTGGGTGGTGTAGAGACCTGACTCCTACCTGCTCAGCATGGGCAGCAGAGGATGGTGCTGGGTGGGCTGATCTGCTGCATCCTAGGAACACACCTTAGGAGGCACTGGAGCTTCAACAGGAAGTTTAGGAAGACTGTCTGGAGAAGGTGTGTTCTGGAAAGGAGAGTTGGAGGAGGAAGAATGCTAAGGTGCCACATGCTGTGCAGAAGATGGAGGGTGGAAGAAGCCACGGGGAAGCTTCTGGCTGAGATCCCTGCCTAAGCCTTCCTTCCCAGA